ACTTTGGGGGACTGTAACTCATTGAATATGAAACCAAAATTGACAAAATTATAGTCTAAAATCATGTACAAACTCTAAACTACACTCTGGAAAAAACCGCATGTCAATCCGACTTTAAGAGAATGAGATATGCATGTGTTAACATTTTCACAGAATACAAAGTACAAAAACAAATAGTTGAAAAGTTGAAAATTTTCAGTTTTGATATCCCGACTTCGGGGGCTGTAAATCATTGAATATTAAACCAAAAATGACAAAATTGTAGTATAAACTGATGTACAAAATCTAAACTACAAGTTGGAAAAAACCACATGTCAATCCGACTTCAAACGAATTAGATATGCGAGTTTTAAAACTTTCACAGAATACAAAAAAATTGAAAAACTAAAAACTTTCAGCTTTGATATCTCGACTTTGGGGGACTGTAAGTCAATGAATATAAAACTAAAAATGGAAAATTTATAGTCTAAAATCATGTACAAACTCTAAACTACATGTTGGAAAAAACCGCATATCAATCGGAGTTGAAACGAATGAGATATGCATCTTTTAAACGTTTCACAAAAAACCGGTTCCGGCCCTAAAAGTGGTTCCGGTTTTTAGACCCGGTTTACCCGGACCCGATGGACCCAAACCCGGATAAAGCCAATTTTTAAACCCGAAACCGGAACCGGTTCTATATATTCTGGTTTTAACGGTTCCGGTTCCGGTTCGATTCCGGTTCCGGTCCGGTTTTCCGGTTCTAAATCTCATCCCTACATGCTCTTGACTCCATCTGCCCAAGTTCTCCGCCCAAAAAGGCGTCGGGCCTTGAAAATCTGGACGAGGGTTAGGATTTGGGATTGGAGCCGCTAGAGGTAGATCATTGACTTCTGGCTCGGAGTCAGAATCCTCTAGGAAGTTTTCTGCAAAGTCATCATCTAAAGGAATTGCATGATTCTCTTCTGGTTCTGCATCGAGCCATCCACCATTTCCTTGGTTTGGAAAGTACGGGTCGCCGGGGAGATGGAATCCAGCCATGTTATCTACGCGAGAATAGGGGTAAAAGAGATAGTTAATAGACGTACTACTTAAGATAATTATAGGATGATCCTTATCAGTTACTTCAATACTTGCGTAGTGCATACCAGTCATATGTAACCAAAATAGAATAGACCTTCGAATAAGTGACCCTAACTCTAAGTCCACAACCAAACAAGGAACAGGAAGTAAAGCAAAGATCACAGATTCTAAGTCTATGACACCCTAGTCACATATAACCTTAGCGTATCCACTCAGCAACTATTGTCCTACTAATAAAGACCTTTTAGTTCTCAAATAAGTAATTATAGTAACACAAAATACTCCTATAGTATTTTAAGTTTATGTTATGTTCTAAAGTTCTCATTGTAGTAGTGTTGGTAAGTTTTTAGACTTGCTGCAACACCACAACCATTCCTAGGCACATGTTAATCACTTCTCGGAAAGATATAGTTGATCAGGCTATATCACTCCCAGATCTGATTATATGTCCCCAAGCCTACTTGTGTTGTCCAACAACCGCAATACTTTTGTTCTGTTCTAGTATGACACTGATCCTAGTATGAATGCTTGTATAAATACTTTACTAAAATATTTTATTATTTTAAAAGTATTAACTCTTGGTCAGAGTGTTTTAATCCCGTTGTGTTTATAGTTGTATATCTTTTATGGGTTGATATACTCAATTCACTATAAACAGAGCTCTGATACCAATCTGTCACACCCCCAAACTGGAATGGCAGAAACGGTCGGGGGCGGAGGACGTCATGTATAGTATCATAACAATGCACAATAGTAAAACAAGCAACATCATCATCCATTGCATTAATAATATAATCTAATACAAGTGTTTTCTGAATGTATTTGTAAGACACCAAAAATATATATATCAAAATAAAAGACGAGTCTTGAACATGTTCCGTCTTCTCAAAACCTGGTCATCGGTACCTGTCTACTGGTGACCTGAGAATACAAGTTATTTTGAAAGAGTATATCAGCATTTAAGCTGGTGAGTTCATAAGTATTTTAGTGTCAATTGTTTGTATAAGTTTTGATGAAAATGTTTGTAAGTGTTTGATGTAAAGTTTGTAAGTGGTTGATGTAAATGTTTGTATACTTCTTAGAAAATCCTATATTTTCTACTAAATTGAAAAGTAGTCTTCTACCAAGACCCGACTGTTTTGTATGTTTGTTCTTTTGTAAAAGTGAGTGTTTTCCCGATTATATGACTATCATTACCAGAAAATAGTTTACATTACCTTTTATGTGAGAAGATCACTATATGAATGTAATGGGAAAATTACAGTGTACAGTAATGTTGTAATAAGTAACTACTGAAACACTAACTACCTTAAAACCAATTTGTTTAATTAAGGTTAAAATGTGATGAGGTTATAACCATACTGATTGACGAGTGTTTAACACGACGACCTGCTGGCGTCAAAACTGATGTGACATTTGTCACCCCTTGGCCTGCCGGCCAAACTGTAGCGAACAGTCGGGATGTGGGATTGCCAGTCCCGTATAGATCTATACACACAATGTCCGCTCTCCCTCCAGGAGACTATGGTTACAAAACGCGACCTAACAAATATATTGCTAAGCCGTGAAGTAGTGGTTTCACATTAATCTTATCTTGTTCTTGTAAAAGGGTGTATGTTCCTTTCTGTTCTTGTTATTGTATGTTCCTTTCTGTTCTAGTTATTGTACTCTGGTTACAAAACGCGACCTAACAAATATATTGCTAAGCCATGAAGTAGTGGTTTCACATTAATGTTATCTTGTTCTTGTAAAAGGGTGTATGTTCCTTTCTGTTCTTGTTATTGTATGTTCCTTTATTTTCTAGTTATTGTATGTTTCTTTCTGTTCTAGTTATTGTATGTTTGAACTGACTCATGTATGAACTAACTCATGTAAGTACTGATTCATGTAAGTTTCATTGTTCTAGAAGTAGTAACCTCCTAAACTATACCTATTATAGTTTACTAGTAAGCTCTGTAATTGAATGATTGATCATGTTTGTACACCTTTGCTACCCAAAGATATTGAACTGATTGAAAGTACTTTTATATCTATATACATATACATAATATATAACTAAGATTCAAACGACATTCGGACAAACAACCGATACCCTAAGTCCACAACCAAACAAGGAACAGGAAATAAAGCTAGTTATCAGTCCTAAGCCCTTTCAACCTTATTTATATAACTATATCTATATAGACATGATTTTGACAATATATAAGTTTAAAAGAGTTCTGTAAAACGATAAAGAGTTTATTATATAAAAGAGTTTTAACCATTTGAATGGTTATTGATGACTTGATGTCAATTTATAAAATGATTTGAAACAGTTTGTTTGATAACATAGTTTTGAAGTATAAGAAATCCTCTTGTTTGATAGTTATAAATCACATGTGATTGATTATACAACTATATTGTTTTCTTCTTGTATTCCCCCCCCCCCCCATAAAAGCATTTAAAATCATTAAAAGATAAGTTAGGGGTATGAACTCACCTGTAGTGAGTGAATCGAATGAAAGATAGAGACAGGTAAACACTAATAGTGGTGGGCGATGGTGGCATACAGTGGTTCAGGTCAAGGAGTCGATGATGGTGGTTTGAAGGCTCGATGGTGGTTGAGATAGAATTCTTTATGCAGGGTTTAAGGGTTGAAGATGGTGGTTTTTTTGGCATTAAGGCTGCGTTTGTTGGGAAGAACTGAGTGGGACAGAACAGGACTAAAACTTTTGGATGATGTTTGGCGTGACTAGAACAAGAACTAAAATGAACTTTGACTAAGTCAAATGGGACAACTCATTCAAAAAATAGTCCTACCCAAATAGGTGGAACTAAGTGGAACACGTTCTTTACTTTTCCCCAATTAACCCTACTTGGAATGCATTCCCGCTTTTTCTTCTTATCTACCGTCGCACACTATCACGATTTCTCATCAGGGTCATCAGATTCTCATCGTCTCAAGGTACGTTTTTAATTAAACTTCATAATCTGCATATCTTTACTTACATGCTAAACGATTTCTTGATAATTTTTCTCGTTATTCACTTACATGCATGTATTAGCTTCTGATTTTTGTTTTTAATTTCTCGTTATTCACTTACCTGCAAAAAAAATTCATTACACTATTGATTACGTTGTGATTTATGTTCATTGAATTCATCCGTACACTTTTCTAAACTTTTAACGAGAGAGAGGGAAAATGAGGGAAAGATTTGCTTGTGTAGTTAATGTTAATTTATATAAACAAGAAAAGACCCTTGATTTTTTGGTTTTTCTCTCATTATAATCGTTTGTGGTTGAAAAATTATGGCTAAATTGACCATCTTTTTCTAAGGCATAAATTCTCTAATCTAGCAAAATGTCCGATTTTCAATTCGTTGTTTACAAGTGATATTCTGGAAAAAGCAATACTACATTGTTATCAAGATCACCCTCTATTTCTCCAACCTCTTAATTGTTTAACCCTCCGATTCACTATATTGTCCTCTCTCTCTCTCATCATCATCTTAAATAAATATTACATACGGAGTGCATAAGAGATGTCATAGGATTGCACAATTCGGACGCAATTGCCCTTGAGTTTTTGTTCCTGCCCTGCTTATGATAGAGATGCTTGCTGGTTCTGGAGGAGCTTGATTAAGCATATTGTTCCTACCTAGTTTGGTACCTGATGATTTTATATTGTTCTTGCCCAATTCATGTTTCACATACTCAATTTCTGATGGAAATGCTCCTGAGTTTTTGTACGTGTACCTGAGTTTTTTTAACTTGTTAATTGGAAGAGTTGATTCATTTTTTATTAACTTTTGTATCTCTTAATTTCTTTTAATATTATTTATTTCGATTATTTGGCATTAAAACTTGTTTTAATATGAGAATTTTAAATAAATTTTTTAAATTAAAATGTTAATTTTGAAGTAATGTATGTTAAATAGAGTTATTATTAATATTTTTTTGCAAAGGGATAATAGGGTCATTTTTACATCTAGTTCTATCCGGTTCTATTGCTACCAAACAGTTTCAGACAACTTGTTCTGTTCTGTTCCAGTCTTACTAAATGTTATACAAATTATTTGTCCTGTCTAGTCCAATCTTGTTCTGTCCAGTGCAATCCAGTTCTGTTCCACGCAGTCCATCTACCAAACGGTACCTAAAGAAGAAGAAACTTTGCATTCAACGTGCCATGCCAGAAGTAAGCAATAACCATTTTTTGGTATTTTTGTTTTCAGATTGAGTATTGTAATGTTTTATTTAATTTATTTTTTTATCAAGTGTGTTTGAGATCACAATTAATTACTATAGAACATCGGCCCCTGAGTTGAAAGATGACTATTGTTGTTAGAAGAGCGGTAGTGTTCAACGGTGGTGGCTGCCAGAGGTGGACGGTGGTGTCGGCAAGAGACTAACTACAAAAGAAATTTAAATCATTGGTGTCGCTCGTGTAATTTAGAATAACTAGTTAACAGATAAATGGTGAAAAACTAACGATAATGGCTTAATTGACATACAAAATAAAAGTTAAGTCTATCACAAAAAAAAAAACATAAATGATCAAATCAGACCACGCATAAGTGACATTTTTCTATTATTTTGTAAAAACCCTATTATTTAATACTGCTGGCAAGTGGTTAATATATTTGATGAATCTTCATTGTCATTTCTCAAATTAATATATAAAAATCTTTAAGAGAGACCAAGTATGGTAACGAATAATTGGGTGAGGCGATGTGTATTGCATTCCAATTATAAAAAAACAACTTCAAGTAAAACCTGCAAAATCTTTTTCAAAAAAACTCATACCCCCATACATATATTTTGATGAAAACTTGTCCAAAAATGTTTAGGTTGATCAGCTAATTTTGCCATGACGGCAAAGAAGGGGGATCTATTCACAAAACACATATTACAGACGTCAAAATTTAGAGACAATTAAATAAGAAAAAGGAACATACCGACCCTAATAATTCAAAAATGAGCATTGAGCAAAAACTCAAAATAAAAAAGGTATCCTCAAATGGTAAGAAATGCCAAGAAGACCATAACTAAACAATTTACACACGTGAAACATAAAAACCATTGAAGTTTTTATAAAAAGCAGCAAAGGAAAATAAATAAATATATTCCTGCAAAGACTATCCTCCTCTTACTTGACACTCAATGATGGGAACTGACCAACATCCTCAATGGCAGGAGCCGCCACATCCATCATCCGGTTTCCACCGCCTCTGGACACACCACCACGCCCACGGCCCCTACCACGTCCACCTGAACCTGGATTGTAGAACTTTTCCCCTTCACTCGGTTTTAAAAACTCATTGATGCTTAGTGACTGTCAAAATAAAAACAATTGCATATATAACATTAGCATTGCTTTGTATTTAGAAAAGATTGCTATAATTTATCAAGATTAGAAAATCTCAAAAAAATAATAATAACCAACCTGTTCAAAATGTTGGGTTAAATGCAAAAAGAGTTGCATGCTTGCCTTTTTTTGTGTATCATAAATAATATCATAATTTCATTCCATCTATTACAGCCAAGGTTTTATAGTTTGGAAAAAATAAGAGTACATTGAAAAGAACACCAATTTAAGTATACATTTTCACTTCAGCAGGCTTCAAATACTCAATTTCACAACAGCAATGTATTTTGAATTTCTTAAATATTAAGACATTGTACATTAGAAACAATAAATTCTACCCACTTATAGCAGAAATATTTGTTTTTGCATTTGGAACACATTGCATAGATTTTTCAAAGAACAGTGTTGTAATACATAAAAATTAAATTAGGATGCTAAAATATATAAATCAATGAAAATAAAAAAAAAATTAATTATTTTATTAATTATGATAAAAAGTAAAAATGTTGTCACAATGAGTAAAAGATGAAATATGAGATCAAATAAACTTGCCTTTCTAGCTCTGTCTTCCTTGTCAGCAGCCTCTTTGCGCTTATCCTTCTCAGAACCCTGCTTGCAACAAAAAAATAAATAAATAAATAATATGAATACAGAAACTAAAAGAAAAATTCATATATATTCTTCCACTAGTAAAGGGATTTTACCAATTTAACAAATATGTCCTCTTCACTCTTTTTGTTGGATAGCAACTGCATTTTTGCTAGATCTTTGTCCAATCCAACCTTTCTCTCTTCAGACTTCAGTGCTAGCAATGCTTTTCTCTTCTCCTCTAGAACCTTCTCATACTCCTCCAGTGTCATTTCCTGTTCACCGAAAAAATCTTCATTTAGACTTAGAAGAGAAAGTAAGCCATAACTCCCAACTCTTTACATAAAAGTAATTTAATTGGCCACATGAAAGAATCTCCCAACTCTTTACATAAAAGTAATTGACCACATGAATCATGATTATCTATCTGCCAATTTCATGTTAAACTAACATATTACAAGGTCACCCCCAAGAAAAAGAAACAAGAAGGTAATGTTTGGATTACAAGAAGAATCCATATTAAAAAACAATCAAACTGGGGTGCTCACACTCATAGACAGAAGTTATTATTACAACTAATATAAGGTTCTAATTCTTTTTTGCAGTAAAGAAAAAATGTGTTGTTGAGATCAATTCATGTATTCGTTTCTTTTTTACTTAATAGAAAAATCAAACAAATCAGAACTAAAGAAGGAGAGAAATGCATAAAAAAAATAATAATAAGAAGAATAAAGAGGCATCACCTTCTCCTCAGGCTCTTTCTCCTCCGTCTCATTAACAGGATTCTCCTTATTGGCATCAACCGATTCTTCCTGAACAGCTGGCTTCTCAGAGTCCAGCTTCTTTTCACCTTCAACCATAGCTTCTTCAGGCTCCCTATAAATAAAAACGCAACCAGACAAGTCAACTTGTTGAACATAAAATCCATGAAAGAATGAAGAAAATATATATATTGAAGATTGCAACATATAACAGTAACAAAGATTCTGGAGACTTGAATATAACACAATGAAGTAAAGTGTGCCTTAGATTATTAATCAAGTAGCTTATCAATGTTGAAAGAAACGTCTCATTTCGGTTTTAATTTTCAGTTTTGCAATACTATACCAAACCCAAACCAACCCTAAAATTGTGGTTTTCTTAGAAACACAAAACCCAAAAAAAATGGGGTGCACTTATTCAGCTCATAAAAGAGGGGCTCTGAGAGCTAAATAAACTTTGAGCACTTACAAGGCAACCTCATCGGTTGCAGTTCCCCAATTGCCACGACCAGCACCTTCACGCTTAAACCCATTACTGCATATCAAATAAATAGCATAATCAGAAAGATATTACAAAATAAAAGAAAAAAAAGCCTCTCAGAAACAGAAAGACTTCACCTTTTAAGGGATAAATCCAAGACAAAACATTAATTTGCATATTATAGCATCCTACTTTCATTTCTTTCAATTAAAGAAGTATACTTGAGATCTTTTTTCTAAATAAGGCATGCATATCATTTTTTTCTTATCACCGCATTTTACTTTACAAAAAAACAAAGAAAATTGTGTTTATTGTATCTCAATGGCATGGCTATACTTGGATAGAGTTATCAAGTATGATGCCATAATAAACAATTCAATGAAATCAGACACGAGTACAAGTACTAACCCACGACCAGTTCCGCTGCGGCGTTCAAACACCCTCCGAGGGCGTTCACCTTCAGCATCCCCCCCATTTGTATAGCCACCCCGACGACCACCACGGTATCCGCCACGTGGACCATTATACCCTCCTCCTCTTCTTTCGGACTTGTCAACATCTCCATCTTCTGAAGGTCTGTTGTATCCTCCATTGTTAGTTCCATTAGAGTTCTCATTGTCGCCAAAATCACGATTAAACCCACGTCCACCAAAACGCCCCCCTCTCTGACCACCATTCCTCGCCTCTTGTACTACACCTCAAAACATCAACAATGTTTCATACAATCCATGTAACAACTTAAATCACCATATATATTCTATGCTCAAATTCCAGCAAACGGTGCATGTGCCGCTGTAGACAATTATATGACTTGTTTTTTACCATGAAAGTTCCACAATATTAATAATAAATGTCATACTCACTCGTCTCAACAACACTCCATTATATCAATATCAGCACCACCCATCCGGCCATTTGCATCATCAAAATATACATCTTAATAATACAAACTTTACTTAAAGATTAAAGAAACACAGTGGCTTCGCTTCAGTTTTTAAAATTATAGGTGCTTTTATATAACATCAAAAACACATTAGTTGTTGCAAAACAAAATATTTACTACATTTTGGAGCATTTTGTGCATCCGTTGTGGATTAACCATGTTAAACATCACTATGGTTCATTGATAAAAATTTGACTGATACAATAATGCAACAACACAAACATGGTATATCTGAGTTCCTTCAAAAAAAAGCGGCACTTAAACTGAGTTCATTCACACAAAACATCATACGACGGAACCCGAGCACATTTGCAAATAGATGTAAACAAAACAAAAACGAATAAAATAGATAAATTTACCAGCCTGGGCAGGAGGAAGCAGCTTGGACGGAAGCTTGGCTGCCGGCTTAGCAGCCGCAACACCAGCCGGAGATTTCTTGATGGACGGTGCCATTGCAGGTAGCTTAGCTATGAGCTGACTGGGGTCATCGTTATCATCATCGCCCAAAAGATCAAACGGATTCGTTGTTGCCATTTTTCACCACACTAAAAAATGTTGGAACTTCCGAAACCAAAAACTATCGGGGGCAAACAACACGGAACCTATAGGTTGTGCTTAGCGTACATTAATCGATTCAATCAATTAACGGCAGAATAATAGTGAGAGTGGGCGTATGTGAGCATAAGAGAAAATTAGTGGTGATATTGGGAAAAACCCTAGCCGAAGCAGAAGATATTTGAGAAGTGGCGTACCTGTAGTTTTAGAAAAAATTAAAAAATTAAAAAATTAAAAAATAAAAAAATAAAAATAAAAAAACCCTACAGAGTAGAGTACAGAGGGTTTTGTTGACGAATTCATTGGGCTCAGTGTAGGTATCTATATTCGCGGGCTGATTTTTTGAGTCAAACAACCCAATATCTTTTTATTATTAGACAAATATGCAAAAATATCTCTTATGTATATATTTTCTTTTGTGGTTTGGTTTAAATTTTTTTTGGATCGGTGTTCTTTTAAGTTGTTTTTATTGTGAAATTGGTCTAACTTTAAAAAACTAATGTGCCCTTTTAATTTGTTTTTTTCTATTTTTTAAACATTTTTTTCTTTTAGTTAAATATAGACGTTAAAACAAATAAATAAGGGGTCCCTTCTCTCTCTCTCTCTCCAACCTAAAAACTGTTGGATTTTGAATACTACAACATCCTATGGTGCACATACAACCCTAAATGCATTGGATCTATGTTTTCTCTAATTATACATGTAATGATATTTCCAAAACATTAAGCCTATAACTAGCATGCAATTGACATAAACAATATGAAATACTAGTTAGGATGACATACCTTTTATGTAGCTTGAAACCTTGTTTTATTTGGCCTTAAGAGCTTAGCACCAAAAGTATGAATGCCTCAAATGACTCACAACTCACCTAGGACAAAGGTGGCTCTTGAGAGAGAATCTTCATGCACCAAAAACACCTCATAAACTCCAAGAATATATGTGCAGACGTTTTTTGGCTAAGGAGTACATATTTATATGTTGGATTCCAAGGGCCATGGGTATAACCCAAATCCATACCCATGGGTTCTATGATCCAAGGTTCATGTGGCCCAACTCTTTATGTGTCTATTACATAAACTTGGTCCAACATGGATCATAAGCCCAACACATGTAAATATAACTAATTACCATAATTAGTCCTCATAGATTTAATTAGTCTCTTTTGATCACTAAATTAATTCTTGATCAATACTAATTAAAACATATGATTTCATATTAATATATTAGAACTTATATCTCAAGAGTCCATCCTAACAAATTGTCATGGTGTTATGTAACTCAAATGGACCATGCTACTCTCGGGTCAAGTACATACCAATAATAGTTATGGGCTTAGACATCTAATCCAACAGTCTCCCACTTGGATATGTCTAAAACTATTATTGCAAATATGACTCCAAAATCCCGACTAGCAATCGTAGATCTTAAAAGCCGCTGTCGAACTCTGACCTAGTCAATGACGTGTCCATTAGATAAGGGATCATATATTCCTCCATTCTAGATATCATATGGACTGAGACATGGATTGTAATCATTCTCTCTGTCCATCTGTTGTTTTCCCGATTTCCGATTTATGACGACCGACTAATTAAACAAATCAAATCAGTCTAGGCCCGGCCGAGCACTTAGGGTTGTCATCACTAAATCATCGTGGGGCCCACAGATATCGCTTTTATCCTCTAAGGGTAAAAGGAACGGATAAACTTCGACCCAAATGCTCGTTTGTACTCACTCATCAAATTACACACAACGATATGTTTTATAACATCTAAGTTACTGGTGCGTTTACATATGTCAATGTGCAACCGACTCGCAACTACAACTCACGCGTCTCCGTTTGAAGAATATAAGATATTATCGTCTCATGATCACTCGTGATAAAATCCATGAAGTGATTCAAATGAGCGTGGGTTTAATCCAATACTCGAATCTTATTCCAGTAGCACTCATGAATACTGCAGCTATGTCTAAAACATCTAGACATACTACAGACCCATTCATGACAGTCTTGCCTCAATACCTACTTCCAAAGTATGATCGATTGTGGACGGTTTGAATAACCTAGTTATTCGGGAAGTCAAAACATGCAAAGTGAAACACAAGAATAATACTAATCCTATATGGCCCCAAAACTTTTGAGTCATATTGATTACTCATTATTCATGGTATAATGTTTCAAATAATCAACTTAATACTTGAATTAAAACAATAGTTGTCCCATGCTCCAAGCATGCACACTATGTTTGCGTATGGTCCTTGCTTTGTGGAATAGATCAATTGAAAACATTTCAATGATACTCATTTCACAATTCCAAATCCTTATGATAAATGTAAGAATACAAGATTCTTTGCCATTTACTGAAATCTGTTAGATTCTAAACTTATATGCAATGATCCTCTTGTAATGACTATGCACAAAAGTCACAAAGACTTAGCAACAGACATTACAAAGTATTCCAATGGAGAGCAATTCCATGGAAACGAAGTCTCACATTCAAAGTACATTCCTTTGAACATCCTTCTTGCATTAAGTTTTCTAATCTTACACATATTTAAAGAATAACTTCCACTTATGGAAACATTTCCATATTCCCATTTTGACTATCACTTATGAACAAGAGTTGCCTCTTTTATGGTCCTTCCAAAATTTACACTATACTTCCAACTGTCCATGAGCAACCAATCTTTGGTAAACCTCAGATTGTCCTCGACAATTGATTAATCATTTTAGTCATATCCAGTTCTATTCCTTTTTCCTTCTTAATGCCCTAGGCATTTGGAAAAATTAGAACACATAGAAATATTATAGAATATATAATCAATCCTATACATGAAGCATATGGGATACGATTCATAATGTCACATAAATACATGATCCTAGACCAATCTTTTGCTATAACTTTTTCTATCAGCCATGTTCTCAAAATTCGGACTATGAAAAGGGATGTCGTAATCATAATCGAATATTGAGAACGCAATTAATATTTCCATATATATAATTTCCTTATGTTGAACCATTCCAACATAACATTCATATATATACTTGACTAAATTTGATTAAAATCTCAATTTTAAGCTTTTAGAATTGGAATGAAGTATAATTTCCCTTCCCTTAATTATAGCAAAACAACTTTTCAACCCCTGCAACTTTGCAAACTGAAACTTTTGTTTTATATAATTAACATTGCTAACTTGCAACACTTAACATAGTAATCATGCTCCCACTAACATGATAATTATGTTCTTATTAACATAACACTTATGCTCCCACTAGCTTTGACATGTATCCAAAATCATACACCTTTCCTCAGATAGTTCACATGTGTGTCTAAACAATTATGAGAGGGATGTCGTAATCATAATGTTTAGACCTTTTGCCCCTTCTCACAATTCGAATTATGAAGAGGGATGTCGTAATCATAATCGAATTTGAGAATGCAAATATCACAACAGCTATCTTCTTAAAATCTACTTAGTGAAAGCGTTTCCTCACCATCATTTTCATGAATCGAAGAGAAACCTTATGACACTTAGATTTTAGGGTGTATGTGTTCCTATCCATGTGAATTTGTCATAACCATAACCACAAGAGGAGGTTAGTGACAAATCTAAAATCATATGGACTGAACTTGTTCAATCTTAATTTCTTGCCGCCTAGCAGCACAAGGGCCTACCATTGCTTCCAAGTAGTTATGCAAAAAACTGAGAACTCATAGAACTCACATGCATAGTCAACTTTAACTGGAATGGGCACAGAAATAAGAATATGTCAACACGATAGGTTACAAACCTCAAGTCGTGTGCTATTGATAAACAATAGGTTTTATTCTTGATTAGTTCTTGAAACTTTTCAAGATCTTTAAGACTCCCACTGACCTCTTGACATATAATATTCTCTTGTCAAGAACCATTCCTTGAAAAAGCAAATATTCAAGAGTTAGTGCGGATTCTTATCAACACAAACACTTCACATGCATAGTCAACTTTAACTGGAATGGGCACAGAAATAAGAATATGTCAACACGATAGGTTACAAACCTCAAGTTGTGTGCTATTGATAAACAATAGGTTTTATTCTTGATTAGTTCTTGAAACTTTTCAAGATCTTTAAGACTCCCACTGACCTCTTGACATATAATATTCTCTTGTCAAGAACCATTCCTTGACAAAGCAAATATTCAAGAGTTAGTGCGGATTCTTAACAACACAAACACTTCACACAATTGGCCTTAGTTGGTCTTTGTTTTATCCAAAACATCACAACTTACCAATTTCAAATGTACAAGAGTAAAAACATTTAACTCTACATTTGATAAGTGTTTTAAACCTTCTTAACTTTATGTCACTCAAGGCTCGATCTTGGAGTGTTACTCTAAGACTCAATTTTGGAACGAAGTATGATTCATCTTTTGATTTAACCATTTCAACAATTCACGATTCCTCTTCTTAGTTAAACAAATGCACTAAGATGTCCTTAGAGGATCAATTGTGATATGGTTTTTCATAATCATTCAGATGATCATAAAACATGATACTGAAGTACTCTCCCATCTTTTCATATTGGATAAACTTTTATCTTTCTGCCTAATTTGATTCTTCTCATTCGTCCTGCCATACATTGAAACTTTTCCAATGTTTCAGAATTATACTTAAACTTGTAAGCACAACCATATTTACTAAACTTTAGTAAATCATGACGAATAGCCTTATCGTTCTTTGTGGTGGACCTGATTAGCGCACAACCAAGTGTACCCGATCTCCTAGTCCTTCACTTGACTCACATATACATGTGAACAAGGAATTAGTCTTAATTTCCCAAAGATGAAAATTCTCATTCATCATACAATACAAGTTGCATGATTCCAAGTTTTTATCCAACTGAAACTTGGGTGATGAGAATCTTTCCTTATTTGGTAAATTATTACACTACCACAAACGAAAGAATCAAATCTATTTTCCAATATTGATATCAATGGAATCATATAAACAACAATTTTTCACAAATCTCATTGTAAGGATACTTAAAATAAATAAAAAAATTAAAATTTTCCTTTTGTTTTAAAATTGCGGAAAAACTTATCCTTACAATGCAAAAAAAACTATGTTGTTATCTATTCCTAAGCAATCTATCATAACTCTTAAGTAGCAGCTCAAAATTCTGATCTTCGAATCATGCGATCG